TTTGTGTGAATAGTTCTACGTAAATATTTACTAAACGTATATTTATTTGATACAAAATTATTAATTTAACTATATTTTATTGAGTAAATATTTATTTATTGTGAATAAATGTGAATAAATTTGTTTACTTAGTACTATTGAAAGAAATATATACTAACATTTAGTAAATTTTTTTCAATGTATGTTATTTTGATAAAAATAATTTAATTTTTAAAAGATAAAATAAAATATTATGTATCAAACGGAATATATTTACTGCTCGAACGCCAACTATACAAGCTGATGTAAAAGAGAGGATCTCAGAATGAAACACTCGAAACTGTTTTCAAATAGAGAAATGAAAAACATGAGAAATTATCATTTACTGAGAATTTTAATTTACAGCCAAGAGATTTTGAAATGCGTCACGATCTATAGTCTCTTTCGACAATTCTGGAAAAAAAGAATTATAGCTATAAGAAATAATGCAATGTTTGTGTTTTATTATGTAGCAACTCGTATATATCACAGAGCAAAAAGACCCAGTTGACCAGAGTTAGCATTAATCGATGTCGATGCAACACGCTCCTCAAATGTGTCGATCGCTCACGAAAGTCACTCGCCAAGTAAACATCTTACATTGCAGCAAGAACGTTTATTTACGCGATAAATACGCGGCCCTTCGCTTTTTCTGCGTTGATAAGATGTATCACTGGTCCAGCTAACTATCATTTGCGTCAGAACGGTATTCTTATTATCAATACGGCTGTAAATAAACAGCGTAGATATACTTGACTTGCTCGCTGAGACGAGCAACAAGCTTATGACATCCCGTGCGAGATTTAATTTGAATATCGTTTTTTCTCGGAGCTTCAATACCGCGAGTATCGACTTTGATAACGCAAAGTGAATAGGGTATAAAAGAATTACAAAGATATTTATAGACGTTAATACTGCCGGTATGTATCGGATAATTCTTATATTATTCTCAAACACTCGGATATATTATTCTAGCATCTGTGGTTATTTAAAGTCACAGATAAGTCGGCGACGCGATTCGTAACTGGCGAATAGAAATATAATTCTACATGACATTTATCCTTGTTTTATAAGTCACCCGAATCACTTACACAGGTGGTCATGACATTTCTTTTTTCATACAGATATTGAGATATTGAGATAAATTTAATAACTGTGAATTGAAGTGCCAGCCTTTATATTTATTTTGCTTTAAAATAAAATACTCGAACCACTCAAATCGCAGCGTTCCTGGAATGTACTTGACTGAAAACGTAAATTGTTTTTTCAATCTAGATTCGTTGATAAATTAAAATATATATTTTTCTCTACAGAAATGATCTGGAAATAACATTTTTTCTCTTAATTAGCAAACGCGGCAATGTGTTTATCTCGTGCATACGGTTCAAATGAAATTCTGCATGCAGACGATACGTAAAAAAGTCCGAGATATGAAAATAAATCCATATGACGGTTTATATATCCAAGAACAAATTGCATATTTATCAAAGAGATTCTGCGCCACGCGATAATTTCCGTTCTTTGTGAAAGCGTATCTCATACTTAGGCAAGTGGACTTGTTATGCGCGTGAATCACCACGTTGAAAACGATGGAAAAACGGTAGTTTCTGAGTACCGACCTTGCGGAAAAGCGATCTGGGAATATTTCTTTGGGTCAACTATTTATAGTGTAAGCCAACGTTTTCATCTCCGTCACCGTTGATACTCGGACGAAAGGCTTGTTGACATCGTGCCGCGAATTTTTGCTGTCGACAGTTTGCTGTTGATTTACATTGGAATGTTTATACCTGTTATTTTATCTTGTAAATCTATTTTTGAGACACAAATCCTTTTTTAGAACAAGGATTTTTAGGCGTAAATTACGATTGTTAAACTATAAATAACCGTAGTTCCTATACTTGTGTATAAAACGTATAAATATTATTGTTAAACCTAATAATATTACCATTAATATCAATAGTGTAACATGTTTAATATCAAAATTAATACGATTTTTGTGAAAGAATAAATTTGAAAATTGCTAGAAAAGATGAAAAACAGGATAACAGAGCACATCACGTATTTGGAACGTAAAAAGAAGTATAGTTAACTTGTTGTCTACACGATCCACCTACACAGTTTACAAGAATACGTCCGTGTCAATTTCATGCAAATTAGACGCAGAGAAACCGTGTACAGGCGTAATCTAATTATCGTCGACGCAATTCCAATTCACGTTCTCTGACGTAGATGTAGTAGTGTTTATTATGCGTGGATCGTAAAGTTTGTGACATAGTGTATATTTTGTAACGCGAATTCTTCGCAACAGTTGTCTTGTCTGCCTTTGTAGAACCTATAGGTCGCAGTTGCCCTCGCGACGAACGCAGCGGCGTCGAAGACGAGAACAATCGTTGGTTTGACGAACGAAAACAACGGTACTCGTCATGGCGCACCGCGCCGCATTCTATTAATAACTCGGCACCGCGGCTCTTTGTAAATTTGTCGAGGGTCGCGGCGAGCTCATTGATTCATTGATCATATCGTGGGAGAACGATACGTCTCTCACGGAAGTGCCATCGTTGTTAGACTAGTGACCCTCTCTAGAATAAGAGTATCGAAATAACATTTAATTAGAATTAATCAGTATCAATCACGCAAATGATTGAAAAGAATTATTTATGGCAATTTTTGACAAAATTTACTTTTTTCTCCGAAACGTCACATTCCGAAGATTTTTTCATGTTGAACACGATACCGTTGACAGAATTTAGCATTTATTGGCGGATCCATGAGAGAGGAGGCCATGACCTCCCTTTTTCAAAAATATTGATGTCAAATGTTAATATTTTTTTAATTTAAGAAATCGTACAGAGGTATAAAAAATGTACGTAGATTCTATTATATTATAGTTTTAAAAAGCTATTTTTTTCAAAAATTGTAAAAAGAAAATTAAAATTTTTTTTTTTTTTTCGGAAAGAAGCAAATAGATAGGCAGATCTTACAGACGCACATAAATTTTTCCAACGAATTTTTCTATCCTTGGGAGAAGAACCGAGAAAATCAGCGAAAAAATTCGACAAAACGTTTCGGTTTTTTCGGAAATTTTAAAACTATATATTATATTATTTCTTTTTTGTATTATAATATAATTTTAAATAAAACTTTTTATGAAAGATACATTTAAATAATACTTTTTCAACGTAACGCCACTAATAATTTAAATATTCTACTTTTCACATACACATATTTGACTATAAAAAAAATTTCACTTGCGACCCTCCCCCCTCTCTTGAAAAATTGCTGGATCTATCGATAGTAGCGCGTCAGGATTTTTAATAAACTGTAATAAAATAAGCAAAAAAATGACATTTTTTGCCGTAATCAACATTTTTATGACAAAACAAAAAAAAACTCGTTTTTATATAAAGTTCACAGAATCTAAAAATACACACATAAAATTCAAAAGTTTTAAATAAATTTTAGTTCATGATCATACGACTTATTTTCATCAAGTTATGGTTATTTAAATTTCAAACTTTCTGTATAATTATTCAAACAGTCATGTACTAATGATAATAAATTATATAATGAACTAAAATTTATTCAAAAATTTTTGAATTATATTTTTAGATATCATAGACTTTATTATTTAGAAATAAGTTTTGCCGTGAAAAATGTTGAAAATGATGAAAACATGCCATTTTTGCCCATTTCATCCCAATTTATTCAAAATTCTGACGTTCTACACAAATTCTGTCAACAGTATCGTGTTCAGCATGAGAAAATTTTCGGGATACGTACTATGGCACCTGAGAGAAAATTCGGTGATGAATTATGTATAATTGTTTACCAACAATTATTAACTGTCCGTATTTCAAAATCATAATCAATCGCTTGTTGCTTGTTTTATTTAAATTCAGTGAACTGGCAGTTACTAATTATGGCCGTAACTTACTAATTGCATTTATAACTAGTTGATGGTCAAGCACTGTTTCATATTTGTAGATATTCGGTAATGAATTGCTATTTTTTAAAATTATAATATGAAAACGTGTATTTTCGGTCAACTGTAAATTTATTTATCGGATTAGATTAAATTATTTTAAGTTTCTTATATAATAAATTATTAATTAATAAACGTTAATTATCTTAAGTTTCTTATATATCTATGTTTAATATCTTTGGGCGAGTCAGAGACGATCGATCATTTCGAGCTTTTTGAATAATATATAAACACAAATAAATCGTAAAACCGGAAAATGATTGCAGGAACGTTAACAGTTCATATTGATGAAAACGATTGATATTTTGGAAATGGGAAATGAGAATGAAATTCTTGCTATGTACAAGCATAATTCTGTTACCGAGTGGTTGCAAAAAACGGGACAAGCCACGGACTATGTAAATAATGGTAAATCAACAATTATAAATTTCAATCTTCCTCCAATATTTTCATCGCAATTTATTTTATGTTCATTATCTTTAAACGAGAAAGTATTTAAAGATAAATAACATAAAATACATACAAATTTCGTAATGTTTATGTATCGTAAATCTTTATGTTTGTATAAATTATTAGTATAGTATATAAGATGTTTAAGAAATCATCCAATTCTATCTCATTTTGATATCACTTATAATAATACGTGCTTTAAATCCTCTAACTAAACACACGTATGCTTTCCGCATATATTGTTTTTTAATTAACATCATGGCACATTTATATTTGTATACGCAAACTTTGAAGTGCACAAAAAGGAACAAATGATAAAAAGCAATAAAGTATGTAGAATAATAATGTTAACATCAAAATAAAATAATGTAAAATTTTGTACATTTAACTAAAAATAAAAATTTGCTATTGATTTAGTTTAGAATTTCATGTTATAATAGAGAAGGTATTTTCAATATATTATAATAAGTTAGTCTGGATAAACGAACTGTGCAGACTATTCTTTATTAGCGGATCTCATTTAAACAAAATTATTTTATTTCTGATGCAGGTAGCGAAAGCCCAGTTTTTGGTATCGAGGGTGGTAGTAGCGCTGCAGGCGCTAGTAGTAACTTGAGACTTGCATCTCACGAGCTGCCAAATGAGATTTCGGCTCCCTATGAAGTACCTCAATTCCCGATCGAACAGATCGAGAAGAAGCTTCTGATCCAACGACAATTGACTGTCAAGTGAGTATTCATTCTGATTGAATGCATTTTTATAGCATTTTTTGGTTTACTTACACAATTCAGATCGGTTCAAGTAAAAACTTATACTTACGAAATTATTTATAATTATATACTTATAAGCTCATACATATGTAAAATATTTTAGTTTCTTAAATTTTAAATTTCAATTTGTAATATAATTCTGATTTAAATACATTTTAATTGAAATATATCCTCACAAAAATTGATTCCTGCTGTATCAATTACAATACAAATCGAAAAAAAAATTATCATTAAATTTACGCGAAAGAGTTGTTGTATTTATCAAATAAAGTTAAAAAAAAATCATTCATCAAAGCAAGAAGCCACCATAATCTAAAGACCAGAGCTGTTTCTTCGACAAGTTTTATATTGAACAAAGTTGGAAGTTTTTTTGAAAAGGTTAGGTTAGGTTGAAAAAAAGGCATTGATGAAAAATTTCTCTCTGATGAGGAGAAAAGTATTTTAATATATTTTTCTTTTTATTTAGAGGCAAATTTTGCAATAACTTTTTCAAAAAATTTTCAACTTTATTTAATATAAAGTTTCTCGGAAAAATGACAGATATATTTTATATTATTCTAGTACGTCAATCCCTAACGTGTAGAGTTTATATATTAAAATTGCATCTCGAATAGAAGGATTGATTTCAATTAGTTTAGATGATTTCATTTTAGATGATCAGTAAGTTTAGATAATTATTTCGCGCCGAAAGAAGTTATAATTTCAAGGGATACGACGATACCGATAAGCAGGCGGCTATAAAACTGAGATCGCGATATATTTACGACTGTGCGAAAGGCACTAAAGTATTATCGCTATACCGAAGGGTATAAAGTACTTGGCTGTATGCACGAGGTAATACGTACGTGATCGAGTATCTAGTAAAACCAAGTGCCATAGCTAGATCGCTATACAGGGTGTCTGCAACGCAAATTTAAGTCTCAGACATTTTAAATTAAAATTCGGTGAACACCGTTAAGAATATAAATTGAATTTATTTTTAGAATAGCAACTTTAAGGAACGACATTTGGAAAAATTACCTTTTTCAAAAGATAAAACGTTTGAAAAAATATCGTGCTTCTTGTATCTTAAACGATATAAACGTTCTGCTTTCGAAATCACGCTGTATGTCTAAACGAGATCGGGTAGATAATCATCATAATCTGTTCGAAAGTTTTTACAGAAATTAAGGAACGTATAGAAGATCGCTTATTTTTTGCACAGTACTATTATGGAATCGTCGTATTAATCATGAGATGCGGGATCGATTTTTAAACGTGAGGATATCTCTGCCAAGAATATTCTGAATTAGCTTGCTTCTTTGTTGAAGGAATATTAAATGCTCTTTACTAATTCTTACTTAAGCTTTAAGCGGGAATTTGCATTTATTTAGAAGATAAAGGAGGAAAATAAATTCTAAATTCGCTGGTCAGAAAATTTGAGAATATTCGAGGAATATTTTGGTCACATTTGCGTAATATTTTCGTAAATATTTTATGATTGTAAATATGATTAGAGCAGCTATACTTGTAGTCATAGGCCGGTATTTATAGGTGGTTCTTATATTTAAGACCGTCTTAAGTAAAGCCTTAAATGTCTTGAATCATTACAGTACAGTATTCATAGTTAAAATCTTATATTTAGGATCGTCTTAAATAATGTCTCAAGATGCTAATACGGATTTCTGATTGGTTTATGACATTTTAAGACTGTACTTAAGACAGTCTTAAATATAAGAATCGATTATGAATACCGCCCATAGAGCCGTATTTAGCATCTCTTGAGGAGTTACTTAAGACGGACTTGAAATAAGAACAGACTACGAGCCATAGTGTCGATAATTGGACGTTGATGCGACACTTAGGGATAGCTGTTACACTTCCTGTGTCATTGCATAATAATGAGAAAATGTTTTATATACGATGTTTTCTGTGTACTAATGGAACGCCAACTCGGCAATGTTCACCAGGATTGCGTCCGCGCGAACCAGTTCGGAATTATTATCGTCGTTAGATATTTTACCGGTACCGTGATGTATTATGTAGATCCGAGCGAAGGATATAAACGGATAGATAGAGACTGGTAGGTCACGCCGCCCACGTCTTAACTGGAACGGTCGAGGCAGACATTTTGCGAATTTTGTGCGAGAAATGTCGCATTGCTATTCAGTTAGACAGTTCTGCGCTCCTTCCTGCGTATATATTTTTTATATAGGATTTGTGTTATATCCTTAGAGACACTTATTACTGAGAATTACTACGAAAATTATAATAATGAAATGTTGATATTATTTTAGTATAGTTTTGGCGCAGTATTGAATTAAATCACACTGGCTGGATTTCTAATTTTATAATATTATTGAAATACGTATATTGAGAATTGTTAGTATTCTTTACAGAAATTGGATAGTGGAAAATAGTGATTAAGTACTTATTAGGAATATAAAAAGCACTAATAATTAGTACTGTTCATACTCAAAATAATTAATCGGTATCTTACAGTATTAAATTTCTGTAAGGGTATAGAGAATTCTAAATTTAGACGCATATTTATATGTGAACAGCACTGCTGGTGCCTTACCATTAGATTGTGTATTCATACGTTTTTTATCTGTCGATATAATATATACGATAGTTTGATTGAGTGTATAATTAAGTTCGCAATACAATATTTGAGTATTACAATAAAATTTTAATTTAACTAATTAAACAGCACTATTGGCAAAGTTTATTTATGGACTAAAATTTAATTATTTATAAAAAAGAGAGGAACTATGCAACATTTATATATTATTTATATTATTTTTAATTAATCTCTTTCTCTCGACTTGTTTTATTTAAAGTCAATTTTTGCAACTATTTGCTGCGCAACAGTTTTTAAGATACTCTCATGTTATTATTTTTTTCTCACATTCAATTTTGCATTCTAGAGCGACTCTATTCACTTCGAACTTAATTTTTTTATCTTACATTTTTATATTTTTATATTTTTTGGCATTTCGGTTCATTTTGTAATCTGGTTTTTTTGCACCTTATTCTTTTTTTTTTAACTGTGTATTTATTTTTGCCAAAGTGCTTGAGGGGATTTTCCCAGATCGCTCAATAAATGGTGCGTTCTCTCTCTCTCTCTCTCTCTCTCTCTCTCTCTCTCTCTCTCTCGACTGGTCGCTTCAAATTACAATATTAATCGTTTAGTAAAAGCCATATGAAGGACGAGCAGTGAAACATATTTGACTAAGTACACATTATTATTTACAAATATGTCACATGATTGCAAATATATTTACATTTATATACTTACAGCGTAAGTATCGTGAAAAGAGGAGCGCATTTGTGCGTTATTTAGATCGACTATACAATCTTTGTTTACCAATTGCATGAAAACTGCGGATTACCTTGAGACGGCCGTTGATCACCGATAAAATCGTCGTCGTCGTCGACGTGAACAGAATTCTCGTTGCTGCAGCCAATAAAGCTGCGATCAATAATTCAACGCGGGACGTATGCTTGTTTGGCCTCGAGATGCTTAATGTAACACGATAGTTCAATTCGAAATGTATGTCATAATCGTTAATGCTTATTTAAAATTAAAACTATCCTAGTAGGCAATCAAAGGATTTGGCGAAAAAGATTAATCCGCGAGCTGTGAAAAGAACTAATAAGCTCTTAACTCACCGAGAGATGAGACGTGCTTTTGTAATTGTCAAACACAGACCTCGTTGCGACCCTGTATAACGATCTTTGCTTTAAAAATCGATTGTAACTGATCTTCGTCGTGAAACAAAGGCCAATAAGCTTATTCAAGATAGTTTCGTCCCATTCACATTGCTATCTGTTGTCCCTAACTGGAAGTACTCACGATATACTTCAACGGTATTGAAGCGAAAAGCAATATATATTTTACGACGGCAACGTCGTTGATGATCTTTAGAGAGAAATAACGACGACAAATAACGCAACAGATAAAATACTGGAAGGCCTAAGTAGTAAGTAATTAAGTAAATGATAATAAATACGCGCGCGTATCACGCTATACTCTCTAAATTCTTTGGAATAGAATCTCATTCTAAAGAATGAAAATTAGACCAGTCTTGAAAAAGAGATTGGTTCAGTTTTTACTCTTTAACGCCCAGTTTTTCACAAATGTAAGATTAACTTTAATGTCGGTTCAACTTACTCCTTATCTTTTTCCAATTTAGAAAAAGATGAGAAGAGTAAGGTTAACTTCAATCTCAGTATCAACTTACCCCTTATCGTTTTTCCAATTTAAAAATTGGAAAAGGATGAAGAGTAAATTGAACCGAGACTAAAGTTGATCTTACATACATGGAACCGGGCCTTAGAATGAGATTTCACTTTTCAGAGTGACAATTCACTCTAAAAGTTTCAGAGGGTATATTTTAACGACGATTTAATTCATTGCCGCATTGAGCGTGAACAAAGGATACAATGTGCAATGTAGGGAAGTTACGTCATGTAAGCGGAAACCATGTATCGGCCGTTTTTACATGCAATTGGAGAGCACTGTGAAACGCGGTGGGACGCGGCTCGATCCGAGCGCGGGGGTGGGTCGAAGGGGTTGCCCGCGATCGGCCGCCCTCCACGGCCACCCGCTCAGTGCTCGTGCGACCATCGTTGATGTCGGACGTACACCCGGCGGGGTACGCAACTTCCGGCACGGTCAAAAGAGTTGCATGCGCGTGGAGGAGGTGGTTTTAGGTACCGTTCGCACGAGGCTCGTGTGCTGCGCGCCGTGTTCCGTATCGAAAACCGGTATTAATAACCGGTGATCTGCAAGATATACGAGAAATGGACCTCACGCTAAACCGTCGTCGTTGATGATTATAGAGATTATTTCAAATCACCGGGATCCGATGAGACTGTAATCGAGTTCGATCACGGCGTGCAGTGTTTAATATTCCAGCGTAGCTGCAATCTCCATGGAGAATTAGCATCGCGTAACAGAAAAACCCGCGAAGATGATCTAATTATTAATTTTATTATTTTTTTTAAATACAGAAGATATCCTTCGTAATTCGACAATTATGTTTGTCGATAATTGCATCGATCGCTCCGTCGGTTTATTAAAAACAAACGTCTGCTTGATACAAGTATAATGGGGACTGTATTCAGATTATATTAAACCGCTCTCTCTACCTTGGGAATCACATATTTGGGAATCACATATTTTGATTTATCGATCCTCTCGACGCGCGATGTAATTACATTACTGGAGCTTGAAAGCGTCCGTACTGCAACGCAACGACACCAACACGCGTTCGATCCACGTAATCACGGTATAGCGTGAGAGATGTAGCGAGCTAAGAAGTCTCGCGTTTAAAACGTGATATAATCAGATTGTAGCAACACTAATCCTTACGCGAACGACACTGTGGACGAGATCGTTCGATGCTGGCGAGTGAGTTAATTGAAGAGAGGGATGCTTCTTGCTTGTGCTTAAACATCGCTTCAACAGCATTGATGACGCAGAAACGTGCAATACGCGATTCGAGGATCTTCCAAGAATTTGGTTCAAATTTCTGATCTTTTCTTAATCCGTGAGACTTGTTAATCCAACTGATTTCCGCTTACCTGCATGTTGCCCTTGTAATACGAATGCGATACGAATTTAAATTTCGTAGAGAATTGAAACATTGAGTGATTACCTAGGACTGCAAAAAGAGATTCAGGAAAATGGAAGTTTAAAGAATCTTGGAGAATACGAGTAAATTTCTTTTAAGACATTTATTCGAATGCGTCGTGCATGAATTGATAACATTTTGGCATTTTTATCACTCAAACAGAATATAAAAAATATCAATGTGGGTATAACATCATGCGTCTACGTAATTCTCATCGTGTAGGTATTAATATCAACGCCTACACGGCGTATGAATTTAATACGATGGATTTTATATCAACTGATATTTTTAGAGTGTTTTTATAAACTAAAGGTGTGATAAATTGCGTTTACCGCAGCATCGTATAGCACACTGCTATTACAACGCGAAATTTTGTTACACCTTTCGCCGCATCCCACAACCATCTGTCAACGAAATTAAACAAAATATGAAATAGAAAAATACTGATGAAAAATATAAATGGGAAAAAGAATATATATGTACATAAATATTGTAAACGTTAATGGTTGAAAAATTATATTTATAGAAATATATAAAATCCTTTTACCTGTTTCTCCACTCGTGAATTAATTTTATTTACATATTGAAAAAATTTGATATTATTTTTCGTTTTTCGCTATAATTTCATATTTTATATTTTTCGAAATTCTTTGCATATTTTCATTTAACGCAGAATATTTTTTGCGAAAAGCACGTAATTTTCCGCGAAATGATTATGGAATATTCAGCAATGAAGCCGATGGAACGATTATGTTCATTTGACAGAACATAGCAGGGTGGTGAAATATATGCATGAGATTGTGGAAGGAACTGGGAAAGGACCACGCGGCTCCTATTGTATCCTATCAACTCCTATAAAGGGAATTTATCGGGTATTCCGCCCGACTAATCATGAAAGATCTCCGGCCGGGTTACCGAAGATCAGGCGACACGATTGATCTACGATTGTGATTAAGGAAAACGAACGCGATTCGTCGATTACTGCTCGGGACTGCTACAAGTAAAAATCCGTCTTCCGTGATAGGATCCCACGTATCGTATCCGTGAAAACTTGCGGAGGAGTGTCAAATGAGCGTGGAGAAAAGTGCGGCACAAATTGGCGTCGCGTTATTCGATTCGCGCTTCCGCATCGCGATTTATTCCGCGCGTAAGAGCGATCGATTTCCAGCAAGTGGTATCGATCGCGTAACATGTTCGCTGGCGCGAACGAGTCGAAACGATGGACGAGGGATAATAGGATTCTCCTGAGGTAATTTGTGCTTTTTTATATTATAAGAACAGAATGGCGAATTATACTTGTAGTTCTCGTGAACGTAAATCGAATATACAATTTGGTTGCTTTATTGATTATTAATTTAATCTATCGCTCTTATTTTAGTACGTTGTAAATTATTACTATACGCTTATATCATAATCATATCTGGGAGCAAACATACTTTTCAATATATATATATATGTATATAATGATGAATATATATGATGATGAATTTAAAGACCGTAATTATATACGAGTAGATATAAATAATAATTGAATTATTCATTTTGTTAATATTATTCTATTTATAGAGATATTAGATAATTAACTACGATATCAATATATTAATTTTCATTAATAATGTAGCAATGCTGCAATATTAGTAACATTTAACTAAAATTAATATATTTTATATAATTATTATATTAATTTTTATTATTTTTTTATTTTTATGTTTAATTTAAAGAATATTCAAAATTATCTCGAAAATAATATTTTATTTTGTACATGATTTTAGTATTTCTTTTGTGTGTGTCAGAGGTATTTTTTTTAATATGTAACATTCTTATCCTGTTAGTATATGGAATTATGGACTTAAAGAAATAAATGGGGATATAATACAAACAGGCATTAATGGAACATTTCATGCGCGACGCAATAGTTAAAGAGTGGTTATCTCACAGTTTTTCATTTGCTCATATAAAAAAAGAATATCGTCTGGATATTTATTGATAGCCTCAGGTCAAAGGTCCATAAAGTATCTATCACTTTGAATTTAATCATCTTCTTTTGTGATTGAAAACTCGACCACGAAAGTATTTCATTTGTCTTTATTGCAACCGTAGATTAATTCCATTATGAATTTTCTCGACATATCGGTATTGTAAAAGATAATTTTAAATATTGTTCTGCGCACAGAGAGCAGCAGTTAATATATGTATAATGGTATGAAAAAAATTCTTCGTCCCAATCTAAAGTGAAACGAGAATGAGGTAGAATATTGAACTTTCGAATTATAAATAGATATTGTATTTTATTACTCATTTAATTTTTTTTATACTAATAAAATTGACTAAATGTCAGTTTTAATTACTGAGTCATTTAATATTGTGCTTTTAAAAATTTTGTAACAAATTATTTTAATAAAAATCTTCATCATAGGTTTAAATAAAACATTTGCTTTTGCAAACGATTTTAACATTTCTCGTCAGAGATATTTTTAATATGCGATATTTTGCAGAATAATTATGAATTATTTTGTATGAAAAATATATACCAGATACATTGCGAAATTTTATTTTATGAAATATGAAATCAATTTTATCGAAGAATCAATGATTTCTTTTCTTATTTAACAGAGCTGCAAAAGATCTTGAGGAACGTCGCAGTCATTATGAACCGTCACTTCATCCAGGAGTTCCTGATGACATCGATCATAGTTTCAAGATCGAAGAAAATGATTTCGTGCCTCATTTTCAACGAGTCTCCATATCCGGCGAGGACACTTCCGGAGTGAGTTTTAGACTGTTGATTTGAGCTGACTTATATTTGGTTTTTTAAATAACCACTTTATGATTTTCATAACTTTTTTCGAACGAAAATCGTATTTATTATCATTTGTGTGTGTGTGTGTGTGTGTGTGTGTGTGTGTGTGTGTGTGTGTGTGTGTGTGTGTGAAGAGATAATTCAAAAATTATTTAACTAGCATTTAACATCATTTGACTTTAACATATCCTTATCATCCTTATCATAATTATAATTTGCCAAATGTACGATAACTAAATAAAAATTATGTAATTAAATTTACAAATGATAAAAATACAGAAAAAATTTATCTCTATAAAATATTTTCTGAGAAATAATTATAAAGTATTATTATCAAATATAATTGACAAAATAGAAATGACCTAATGGAGATGTAACTTTATGGTTTCGCGGGTGCTGTTATGCACAATGTGATAAGTATCCTTAGAGATTTTGTGTGAAATGGAAACCTTGGTACTGCGGATTTGCGTGTGAAACCCTTGGTCACCTAGATGTGCCCCTTCTTCCTTCATCCTGTAACTACATTAATCTATAAGGAATGTCTTTAATCTCGATGACATGAAATATATTAGAATCTTTTATCCAAAATATTTTATTAAATTTTAAGTCAAATTATATATATATTTTTTACGTTATTTTATTATATAATAGAGATTTTTATGTCGTAATGATTAATGAATATTTTATAATCAGAAAAATTGTTAAAATATTGTCAATTCGAAAAATTATTTCATTAGTTTGTTTCTTTTTTTTTTTATCCAATTTTATTACTATTTATCTATAAAACTTATACGTAGGTACCTCTGGAAGATCTTCAAAGGGCCTCCAAGATGTTGGTGCAGGCATTGGCGATACGCGAAAAATACATGAACAACTCCAAGCAGAGCTTCCCCACTATTACTTCTAGATTCTTGCGTAGTATCGATAAAAGACCACTCACTACGGACGATGAAGTACATCACGACGATCGCAAGGCCATCGAAGGTATCTATCGTTAATTGAGAAGTGGCTCCAGTACCAAAGTCATAATGAAAATCCAATTCGACGTTCCATATCTACCTTAGCCATTTTCCCGTTGGACGTCCTTTCCTGATCGTACGGTTGTCTATCAAAGAAACGTGATTGTAATCTCACAAAATATTCCAGTGCAATTAACATTAACGTTTAACGCTTCAAGCGCCGATGGCAATAACGACGTCAAGCTACCGTACATGTATTGTGTAAATTTTTTTTTCTTTTCTTTTTCGTCAAACGCAACGATGTGTATCTAATCACGCGGCTCCTCGTGCGGAGCTTCATACAAAGCACAGCTTTAGTTTAGTGTGCCAAGCACTACACATTTTTAATATGAGTTAATTAAGAATATACGATGCCAGTTTTATTACATATTTCTTAAGGGAAAGAGCTGCTGGATATTGCGAAAGAAATCGGGGGCAGTCAATCCGACGCGGACATCGACGCGCTGATCAAAGACGTCTCTTGGACAGGTCTTCCTAGTACCTATTAATATCCTTACCTTGAATTTCCTGTTGCACGCTGTTTTTAATGATGATGTACTTGTTATTTCTTAAGAATCTCTTTACCATGCGCGAGGTAGTTTTATCTCGGAATAAATCAAACAGCGCTGCGGCAACAAACAGTTGACGATACTTCTCTAATACGTACGATTAATTATTAACAGATCACCCGGTACATGCGCCTGCTTCTCGGGGCGATCCTTGGGAATGTGAATTTCCACCGACGAAGAATTACAAGATCGTACCAGTCAATGGCGTGTTTAACCTGTTCGCCAATGATGAGGATCTGGCCAATGGCAAACCGCTCCCGTATTCGTATCCGGACCTGGCGGCCTTCGTCCAGGACATGAACCTCCTTTGCGCCATGATCGCCGACGGACCCTTGAAATCCTTCTGTTACCGAAGACTGAGTTACCTCTCCTCTAAGTATCAGCTACATGTGCTGCTAAACGAGCTCAGGGAACTGGCGAGTCAGAAGGCCGTGCCGCATAGGGACTTCTACAATATTAGAAAGGTTTGTACGCAAACAATTCGAATTCGTATAAAGTGTATCAAGATTGTGATTTGTAAGATCAATATTTATTGTAAAGTTAGAAACAGGATAATGCAATTTCAAAGTAAGAAATTAAAGAAGACTTTATATATTTTTTATTTAGTTATTTTGACATTGAGTTTTTCCACTTATATCTTAGCAACGCATATGATTGAGTTACGCTATTATATGATTGATTTTACAGGTCGATACTCACATACATGCGGCTTCGTGTATGAATCAAAAACACCTGCTTAGATTTATCAAAAAAACGTTGAAGAATCACGCTGATGAAGTGGTTACTTGTTCCAAAAACGACGAAACTATGACACTCCGTGAAGTCTTTCAATCCATGAATTTGACTACCTACGATTTAAGCGTCGACATGTTGGACGTGCATGCAGTAAATATTTTCCCGAAGATTTACAAAAGACATCGAGGAAGTTTCTAAAAAGTATTGCATTTTATTCATTTTTCTTCGCAGGACAGAAACACGTTTCACAGATTTGACAAGTTCAACGCGAAGTACAATCCTATCGGCGAGAGCCGTTTGCGTGAGGTTTTCCTCAAAACCGACAACTATCTGAATGGCACATATTTTGCACGGATAATCAAGGAGGTCGCAAGCGACCTTGAGGAGTCCAAGTATCAGAATGCAGAACTGCGTCTTTCGATCTATGGCAAGAGTCCAGAAGAATGGGATAAACTAGCTAAGTGGGCAATTCAGAGCGACGTCTATTCAGATAATGTGCGCTGGCTTATACAGATTCCTAGATTATAGTAAGTCTATCGTACGATACGCGCGGCACTTAGACTTGATGGTAATGAAATGATGGTTTCTCACTATTTGCATTTTATGTTATAGTGATATCTTTAAGCTGAACAAGCTTATGACGAACTTCCAAGAGATTATCAACAATATCTTCCTGCCACTTTTCGAAGTGACCAACGATCCCAATTCTCATCCGGAGCTGCATAAATTTCTTCAATACGTATGTTTTCCTGTTTCATATTATTTTTATTTCTAATCTGCTTTTGTTACTGTTATACTTTTCTAAATGTTTTACACTCGCTACGTTATCATTATAGGTAATAGGCTTCGATTCCGTGGATGATGAAAGTAAGCCAGAAAATCCTCTCTTTGATAAGGATGTTTGTCCACCTTTAGAGTGGGACGATATAGAGAACCCGCCATACGGATATTACCAGTACTATACTTACGCGAATATGACGGTTCTTAATCACTTTAGAGCGTATGTTGATTATCAAATTTTTTAATTCTATTTCGAGCAATTTTCTCTATTCGTATATTCTGGATGAATATAATTCTGAATTTTTTATAGAGAACAAGGCTTCAATACATTTGTCTTGAGACCTCATTGCGGTGAAGCAGGGCCCGTTCAACATCTCGTGTGTGGCTACATGATGGCGGAGAACATTTCGCATGGTTTACTGCTCAGAAAAGTTCCTGTGCTTCAATACTTATATTACCTAGCGCAAATCGGCATCGCGATGTCGCCGCTCAGTAACAATTCGCTTTTCCTTAATTATCATCGTAATCCACTTCCAGAATACCTTGCTAGAGGATTATGTATAAGCTTGTCTACAGATGATCCTCTCCAGTTCCACTTTACTAAGGTAAAGGAGAAATTATGTATTGTAGACAATCTAAATAATGTATTTTTTTGTAATTTATAAAATTTGTTACTATACATATATAAATAATTATTGTTGTTTATTTAATATATTTCGTAGTCAATGTATGATGTATTCATTATAGGAACCCCTGATGGAAGAATATAGTATTGCTGCGCAAGTGTGGAAACTCAGTTCGTGTGACATGTGCGAGCTAGCACGCAATTCCGTTCTTATGAGTGGCTTTCCACATAAAGTGAGTAATTATATCTGCTCTCCAATCTTTCGTGTATATAAAGGACAACTAAGAGATCGGACTAATGCTTCTTTAAACTCTCTTATCTGTCTTATTACAATGATGACATTTCTCGATTTCATACACTTGCTTAACGCGTAGACGTGATGAAATTTCATGCGATTTAATTGTTTTATTTTGCAGAGTAAGCAGTACTGGTTGGGACCTAACTATACAAAAGAGGGAGTCGCTGGTAACGATATTACTCGAACCAACGTACCAGACATACGAGTGGCCTATCGATATGAAACCTTAGTTGACGAATTGTCCAATATCTTCAAGGTCGTGGAGAAACCTGAGTCACTTCCATTTTAATAATCGATTATTTGGATTAAAAAAAAAACGATGGAGGTCGATTGAGGTGAAATGATATTCAAAGATTGACGAAAATTATGATTATTCATATGATTTATTCTTGTGATTCCGGCTCTTTTATGCTAACTACAAAATATGTTTTGAAACATTACGAGAATTCTTAAGAAAATTATTTTCTTTTCTTATGTAATTACTGATCTTTTTCTCTTCATACATCAAGAATATAAATCGAGATTGAAACTTCGAACATCGATCAAATTATATGTTAGATGAAGTACAATACCAAATTATCTCTAAAATATATGTATCTTGTATCACAGATTTTTCAACGTGAGAATGTGCTTAAGATCGGTATCGCGTGACAAAAGTATGTAATTCTACCTTGACTATGAATATAGATAGGTGAAGGGCCAAATGCGATTTCGTGAGGCCGTTACATTTCTATATTAAATTATGAAATCAGTTTCTAAATTGATTCCATAATTTATTATGAAAATCCGTATTTGTTGCTTAAACAAATTATGAACTTTACGTATGTATCGTTCATCTTTCATCTTGTACCTTTTTTAAAGACTTCAATCGCAAGAGTAAATCAATCAGAAATTATACATATACGTTGACCAATTTAATAGTAGCTGTTAGAAGATATTTCTTCTATCATTGCAAGATTCGTAATACACATTAGTGTACGTATTGTAATACAAACTAGGCTAGAAACGAATATTACGTTTATTTACCTTGACGTTAAGCTCGTGATAAAATAAATCCGTTTTTCACATCTCGGCCGTATCTACGGCGATAGCGGTATATCTTTCTTGGATTTTAGTTTTATTTTCTTACATTTTTGTACATTTATATCTTAATCGTGTATAACGTTTGTTTCGGCGAGCATTCAAATAGCTGGCTCGTATGCGGATAGTTAACTCGTGCCATTGTATACCCTTCTTTCCACAAATAGGTAGTGTAAATAGGAAATTACTTTGATTAGATGTAACTAAGATATTTTACGAGCTTTACATGCGTGCCAAGGTATGATGCAACGATATAAATATATTTCTCGTTATTTTAACTTCGTCGCTCTTTTTACCATTTTTTGCATCTGCCATTTTCCGAGAAAACTCTCCGAACAACGAGCCTAAGGGATTTAAATTAAGCGATATATGATCATCTATAACACTTGAACACTGTGCCCTGAATATCGAATTTAAATTAAATTGTTACTAGATAGAAAGATATATATTTATTGTAAAAAATATATATACTAAAACGGAAATATATACTTGTATCGTTAAAACAGAAATTACGAAGTTTTTGATCAAACTAACAATAGCCCAATTTATACGCGAGCATTAATAAACTGATCCATCAAATACATATACATATATTCTATCAAAAAAAAAAAGAATGCATATTTCCTTTTTTTTTATTCATTAATTAAATTATGAAAAATATAATTGAGGTAGAGATTACATTTTGAAGATTACCTGCTATTATTTTACAAAAAACATATTTGTAAATTTATATACAATAATACGGACGAGCATTGATCATTTTCATTACCTATTCAAAACTATCACCATCTATTAAAAAAATCTTTTTTACGTTATACTTTGTACATATTGAAATAACGCGACTACTACAAATACCTCGAATAATTCGTAGTCGATAAGAGATATGATTATGTACCCTTGCCTTATTCTTAAAATTAATCAACTTTTCTCTTGGGTAAGCTTTGTATAATCTTTGGTATTACTTCCGTAAAAATAATTGTGCCTACGAAGACTAACAGCGTACCAATCCAATGATATATAGTAAATGGATTTTTGAAATAAACTATAGAGAATAATAACGACAGAAATTTTCGCAGCGTTATTACCAGAGTAACTGTGAGAGAGCTGCATTCCGTAGTCAATACGAATACAGAGCTGATGCACATGTATCTGAAAGTACAATTAAGGTGAATACTTTGAATACGTGATAGTATATTCGTCAGATGTGTTGATATTACGCGTTGATATACACGCGTGTATATAATATAATATAGTTGCATTTAGAAAAGGATACTGCGTCAGAACATTTCCAATTAAATATACAATTAACGATGGCATTAGTATACCGATCACAGGCAACCTTAATGGCTCAGATGCGAGTGCGAAATTCCAGTGATCGTAAATATTAGGCGATAGTGTTAGGAAGAACGGCAAGGGTAACAAGTGCTGTAAACAAATTTTCGTTATATCGTCAATTAGCTTGACGTTGATTGATATTTAACGCAGGAAGAAATAAGACTTACTGTATAGTACAAAGCCTCCCGCGCGTTTTTACCGTACCGGCTATGTAGTTCCTCCTGATAAATACCCATTCTAGCAGAAACGAATAAAGCGATCGTGAGTAGGAATATGCCGAAAGCCCACCAGAAAAAGTCGTCCCACGGTGTCGTGGCCACTTGCACATTTTTCTGCTGCAAGGACTTGATTTCCTTGCCACTAACAACTGTGCAGAGCGCTATTCCCGTGGTGATCATAAATACTGACAAGTACTTGCTAAACGTATATTTCTTATTTAAAATAATAATCCCCATAATCATGTTAGCTATAAGAGAACCCTGAAACAATACAACGTACACTTATAATACAAACTACTATTTGTATCTCTCAGACAACGTGTCCAAAATACATCTTTATGACGTCTTAAAGATGTCTTTTAGACATACATGTTGTCTAGATTGCTAATTAGAATCTAAACAGCATAATTTCTCCAAGAGACGTCCTGAGAATGTTCTTTGGACGTTCAGAAAACATAGGAATATTTTTAAAGTCAATATTCATAATCTATTCTTATTTTAAAATTGCCTTAAGTAATGTTTTAAATATGTGATTGGCTCTTATGACATCTAAAGACAGTTTCAAAAATAAAAACCGACTATAAATCGGCCTATGACGTCTCTTGGAGGTTTGTGCTATGGGAATGAATTTACTTGTTACTTACAGCTCTAAATATCATGTGTAGCGGCATAGGAATATTAAAGTCAAATGCATAATTATTGCATACGTTGGCGATAAAAAACATTGTGACTAGGATAAAGTAATCCTTTATGCCTATGTTTGGTTTGACAGTGCCACACTTGGATGTGAACAGGAATCCCTCAATGGATATAAAAAGGAATTGTGAGAACGTAATGAGATTCCCACTGCCAGGATCATCTCTGAAATCAGAGTGATAAAAAATAAAACTTGTTAACTCTCATGATGTAAGGAAATCTTACTTTCAACTCTCATTTGTTTTATCATGACATTCACTTTACATAACAGTACTATCTCCAACTAAAGTATTACGGGCGGTAAGTGCTTTTTTCAAGTTGTACCGAATTACAGATATGAAATGAAAGAAGCGATAAGTGTCGTAAAAATTAGACAAGATAACATACAGTGCGCGCGGTTATGCAACACTCGGCCGGTTAGACGAGTCATTGGTGTACTCACTTGACAAGCAGTTCCAGAAACACGACGTTGGTGCAGCAACCGAGGAAGACGCAAAGCACCGCGACAGCCGCCCGCATCGTGTTCGCTCTAGATCTTATTCCTTCCTTCTTCGACTTCCTCCCTCGTTGAGCGATCTCGGGAGTCGCGGTCTAACCTACGAAGGTTACGAGACGCGTGTCGGATTCTCCAATGAGCGTCACGCAATCCATCGGCACACTAACCACTGCGGCCAGCGTTAGCGGTCGATAGCGAATTATCAGCGATGTAATAATGTGATGTATCGCGCGGTCGGATTATGCGCGCGATACCACGTGCATATGTATACATTTATAAATATATCGGATGTCATGAACGTCACTATGCCAGCTATGCCTTAATACGTTAAATTACGTTAGTTTGGAGCGCTCGATGGAGCATGCGTGTTGCAACCAGGTATTTGATACATCTTGTAACAGTCGTTGCTTATTTCAATATATGTTTTTTCATTCAAGTGATAACATTTTTTGATTGGAAATACGTGTTTTTTTGCAATCTTGTTGAATTACGTCAGCAATGATGAGAAATTTTATATATATATATTTGTGTGCGCGCGCGCGTGTGTGTGTGTACAGTGGATTTTTTCCTATTGGATTTTTTAATGTTGAGAGAGATTTGAATTAACAAATACAGTTATATTTTATATTATATTTTAGAGTTGAAATACAGTCGATTAAAGATTAACTAATGTTTAAACTAACGTTTAAACGGCTATCTGTCATCATAAATATAACTCATACGATAGTGTCCCAGGTAGCACATATTCGTTTAAAAAACGTTTCACAAATATTTCTTTGAAATGTTTCGTAATCGGCTCTTGAAATTGTTTCTGATTGATTAAAATGTCTACTCGAAAAACGTTAAGGAAAACGTTTTTTTCTGATAAAAAAACGTTTAAGAAACGATCGAGATACCATTTTTTCCTGTATCTGTGATAAAATTTTCTTTCTCACAGAATCACTAAAATAATGTATTCACATATGTGATCCGTAATTGTCCATAATTAAAGCTTTATTATTTTATAAACTACTGCTTAAAATAAAAATTTACAAACAACTTTTTTACTTAATTTTTTAGAAGTTTCTTATTGTAGTATTTTAAATTGTGAATTTTTGAACACCCTTGTATAGCATAATGTTTTTCTAAAAAGAATATTGTCAATTAATATCTCATACATGTAACTCATATATATTTTAATTTAAATATCTTAAGCCACTTAAATATCTTAAAATCTTTTATATTTGTGTATATTTTATATGCAGAATTATTAATTAAAGGAATAAAATTATATAAAAATATTATATAATTCTATAAAAATTTATGACCTTGAAACATTTTTTTTAAATACAATTTTTGTCTACAAAATTTTCTTCTAAAATTTTAGGAAAATTATATCTGAGTAGATTTAAATGAGCAAAAAATGAACAAAAAACAAATTGTTATGTGATTTATGCTAAAATTATAAATATTGTATAATTGTAAAGTCAAGGCTAAAATTTGTTCAAATGGCTTAAGTTGTCTTCTTGCAAAGAATGATAACGTTAATAATTTATACACACTTTGTCCAAGCTATATTATAGATATTAAACTTAAATTATTACAAACTCAATCGGCTAACACTGATATCACATTCACTCTATGCTCAGCACATAAGGACGTTAAAGAAAATTACTGACCTTACGATTAAGGAGAATTTGATATGATGTTACATAACAGAATTGATCTTAGACAGGCGCTTGTTTGTCTTGAATATTGTACATACATATATAGAGGTCGTCTTATTGACTTTGTTAATAGAAGTATAGCAATACTATATGTCAACTATTAAAACTTTTAAGAAATTCAGATTCGAAGAAAAGAGTATTATGTATGAGTATAAGGATCATTATTAACTATGCTTGTGTGATTGTGGCTGTGTTATTCAAGATCTCAATCACATGTAATTGAGATCTTACAATATTTTAAACAACGTTCCTGTTAATATTTTTTATCACATAAGAAATAGTATAATATACTTCCTTATGTGACAAAAAATATTAACAAAAACGTCGCTTAAAATATTATTTATTTTATTTTTAGTATATTCAATGTAAAAAAAATAGGGATGGAAAGTTACTTTGTAAAAGTAATTAATTACCGTTACAAGTTATTGACTTTGAAAAGTAATTCGTTACAGTTACAGTTACTGAAAAAATAATTTTTAATTACTTTTAAGTTTTTTTTTATCAGAATTTTCAGCAGAAAATGTCACGAGTAACATTGGTACCATTAGGGCTGCGTTCAGAAACATTACCCGACTGCTTCCGTATATCGTTTTGTCCTTGTTGTTCACTTAAACAAAAGAATAATACATAGGGTCATCTGAATAACGCAGCCTAGTCAATTAAAGAAAAAACATACGTTTACATGTTATATAATTTTATTTAAAAAAATAAGAAATATAAATATGATACAATAAATACATGAATATAATTATGAAATAGCTTATATATACAACCAGTAATGGGTAAGATACTCTTAAAATTTATCTAAATACAGATACATCTTCTTAATTACTAATATTTAATATCTTGTAAAATATAATATTAAATACTAAGTTTAAGCATATTCAAGTCTATAACGGTCAAGGCTAGATCTTCTCAATGCTTAAATAATTCACAGTGAATTATCTATATCCTATATATGTACATGAATATATATCATATTTTTGTATTATTCAAACTGCGCACCGAAATTTTTCCGGACTTTATCAAACGCAATTAAACTACTGCAATAATATCACAAGTTATATTCAATTGACAAGCAAATTCTCAATCTTCGATCCGATATCATATTATAAGGGTATTAATATACTAAAAACCTTAAATAAATTTTTATTGCAAAAAATATTACCTCGGCCGGGACTTGAACCCGGATCTCTTGTATTCCGGATCTTCTCAATGCCTAAATAATTCACAGTGAATTTTTATATCCTATATATGTACATGCATATATACCATATTTTTATTATTCAAACTACGCGCCGAAATTTTTCCGCCGAAATACATAATATTAAACAAACGTATCGTTCTTATTAGGATCTTTTCAATATTAATATTATATATAAACAAAACTATCATTACAAGCTACGTATAAACATCCCTACCTTGCATCACACGTCAAATCTTACATTTTAATTAAAAATTCTTAGGATTATTGCTAGAATTTATTTGCGACTTTCTAGAAAAATTCGCACTTTCTAAGTATGTATAGTGACAATAATTTATATTATTTTATTATTAGTTAATAATCGTCTTATAAATATTATCCCCTAAATCGTTCTACGATTCGAAACACTTGATTGATTACAGAAGAGAGAAATTTAACTGAGCACTAATGAACTCTTTTTTGAGCATTGATTTTTTCCTTAGTACGGAGAGAAAAGAAGAGAAGAATGTTCGCAGTGTGATTTTAACGCGGTGTGATTTTAAGACGAAGTCCGTTTGCGTTGACCAACACCAATTCCGATATAAAACGCAATTCATCCTCTTTATCGAGAGCTTCCACACGAAAGGTTTTCAGCACAGATAAGATGGCCACTTTAACTACTAATGTGGCAAATTTCCAGCCAATGCAATTGCGCGAGCCAGCGCTAAAGGGTATGAAAGCGTAAGGAGGTAACTTGGGGCCATCGGGCAAGAATCGCTCCGGACGATAAATGTGCGGCTCTGGGAAAAAACGGTCGTCACGATGTAGTAAATAGGAGTTGATGAGAACTGTCGAGCCCGGTGGAATTTGACTGCCCACTAAAAACAGGTAAAAAATATTTCATGTAAATAAGAATTTTTTATGTGCATTACGCAATTGTTGATTGGACAATAGCAATAGCTATTCATCGCATTTTAAAGTTGTTTATTCTAACAATTACTTGATAAAATATATCGTATATCTTTCTCACTTTCTCAAAAGTGTACACTAGTTCAGCCACAGAAAACAGACCTAAGGACATGCTCTTGCCACATTAAATTTCAACTGTCTTCAATGTGGACTAGTGTTCGTGTACACAGATACGACATTTATGTGTGTGTGTGTGTACGCTCGTCTTAAAAGTTTCTCTCTTTAAAAAGCACGCGCGGAGAGGCATATTCATAGGTTGTATGCGATTAATTTTCTAATGCGATTGTAACCGGAGATATACTTTAATATAATTTGATGATTATATATATAGGGTGTTTCAAAATTCAAACTTGCGAAGTACAAGACATGATACTTTATGCTGAAACAAACAACTTTTTCCTTTAACAAAATTGCGTTCGATAAATAATTTTTTTGCTAATTTGTTAACTTTAACCTGCTCTCCTGCAAAAACTACTCGTCGGACACAATTTTGCCAAAAAAAGTTGTTTGTTTTAGCATAAAATATCAAATCTTATACTGTATAATAACTGTAACATGTAATAGTTATTATATGTAAATAAAATGTAATATCAAAATATTCTATATTAAACAATATGTGATTTTATCGAATAAATTTTCAAATTTGATCTTCTTTCCTCTTGTACAAAAATACTATTTTTTAAATTTATTTTTGCATTAAATAATCATTTCTTTTTCAACTAATCCTGTATATACAACTTAAATTATAAAATGTATTATGAACGTAATACGATATTATTTTTTCTCCTTTTTATATTTTGTTATTTTCAATCTAGACTAGCATTATTTCGATTGTTACACAGAAAAAATAATTTTACTAAAGTATCTAAAAATTTAGATAAATAATATAAAAATAATTTTATTGGGCTGTTAAAATAATTGTGCAGAAAACTATGTCATGAGCAATATTGCAAAAAATTTTAACAATCTAACAACTAACTTGAGTGTTCTGTAATATTTGGTAGACCAACAAAATTATTTTCATGTTTGTATCTATCTTATTTTTTTAGATACTTCAGTAAAATCGTCCTTTACGTTGTACATACGGTTTTCCCCGTAATAATATTTTTTATGCAATCTATTCGACAAATAATAACGGCATTAACGAATATTATTTACATTTATTTTCAAACACGATCAGTCCAACACTTCGACAGTCATGCATCAATATGTGTTATTATCCTATATTAAAATTGGCACGTTTTTTTGAAGCTTCTTTTCAAAGTGGTGTTGGAGTACTCCGATTTCGACGTGGCTTCGTATTCGGGGATTTTAGGGATCGCTCGTTCCGAAATCGTGATAAAAATTTCGAAATTCAAAATGGCTGAATCAATATGGCGGACGGAAATGTTACCGAAATTTTAAATGTTCTTCGATTTCGGTGAAAATTTGTATCGTGAGGTTTTAGGGATCGCTCGTTCCGAAATCATGATCAAAATTTCGAAATTCAAAATGGCTGAATCAATATGGCGGATGGAGATGTTATGGAAATTTTAAAGATTTTTCGATTATGGTGTAATTTGTTTTTAGGGGGTTTTTGGGGTAATTCATTTCACACAAAAAATTTTTTTCTTAACCAAACGGAAAATTTTCTTTTACGCATATGGATAGCGCATAAATAGAGCATTATTCCATAATTATTTCATTAAGATTTGGTTAAGTGGAGGGGCCAGCTAAGCAGACGTTAAGAGACGTCAGTTTAACTGGCCCTCGACCCCACCTTCTTAATCAAAACTTAATAAAAAAATTATGGAATAATGCGCTATTTATGCGCTACGTATATCCGTAAAGAAAAATTTTTGCGCTCATTCCGTTTAGCTAAAAAAAAAATTTTTTGTGAGGGCCTGAGTATGCAGTCAGTCAGCCTCCCCCACCCGTTAAAGACAACCGATTTAAAAAATTAAATATACAGGATTTATGCGCTATTTATGCGCTACTATTTCCAGGCATTTTTGGTTTTTGCGCTGCAACACTTAAGGCTCTTCTTTCTTGGAGCGGACAGTCATATTCACCCCTAAGTCACGTGTTAGCTGGCCCCCGCCACTTACCCAAATCTTAATGAAAAAATTATGGAATAATGCGCTATTTATGCGCTACCTATATGCGCAAAAAAAATTTTTGTGACAACAAGTCATTCGGAATCGATGTTAAACTGTAGGTCCCATACGAACTGTGTACAAACAGCGTGCGCACCACAGACATATGATATGAGAGAAGTTAGAGTTAAGTTACTTACTTATTTCGATTGGTTTGTAAATTTGTCTTGCTATAAGTGGAGCCACAGGATATAGTCTCCACTGTTCCTTGATGCAAGCTTCCAACCATGTTAATTTGTGTATATTTTCCAATGTAATTTCATCCGTGTTCACCATCATATCATTGTATTCCTCTAAAATTTTTTGCTAAAAATAGAACAAGAAAGCACTACAGTTAATGTTTTAAAAATATAGAAAAAGATAACACTTTCAATTAGATCTTCTGTATCTTCTCTCTCTTAATTAATTTTATAATCTAAGAAATACATCTAATGCGGACGAAATGTAAAAATCCAATTTCCTTAAGGTTGTTAAAAATTATATATATAACAAAATAATGCCCTATTTAATAGATTTCATCGTGTATTAGAATTAAGTATAACAGTGTTAATACAATATAGAAAGGAATAATACCTGATATTCGGGGTTTCGTCCTAGCGCATAAAGTGTCCATGATATGGTGGTGGCCATCGTATCGTGTCCAGCGTACATAAAAGTATTGACTTCTTCACAAATGTCTTCGTCCGAAAGGACAGTGCCATTTTGTGATATTTGCAATAATAAATCTAGCAGGGCTCGTCTCTTCTTTAAATTGTTGAAGTTGATATCGCTTTTCCATTCGGCTTTTCTTTTTACAATTACCTGAAGATTAGATTGTTCTAGATATTATCGCGTATTATTTGCGAGCGGAATATTGAGTGTGGAGAAGTATTATAAGTCAGTTTTCTCACTATTCTAATCTAAAACATGTGTGTGAAAAAATCCAAGAGTGAATTTACTATAGAAGGAAGTTAAAATATAATGATTTTCTTTGTATAATATACGAGTATAATAAGACGAGAGCAATTGCACTGAAGAAAAGAGATATCTCTCTCTTTTTTCCATTCACGAACATGTGAGTCGAAATTTGAAACAAAAACTGACCTGAACTGAATTTAATTTTGTACACAAATTAGATAGTAATGAGATAACGTTAATGTGTTATTTTTTACAATAATGTTACTCGAGATCCCTCAGAAAACTGGAGCAGCTATTGAAGATAGCCCGGCTTAGAAAGCTTTAACTATCTGTGTCTAGGAATTTAGAATGATTATTACCTTGTTGACAAATTCCTGTATGATTTGAAGTGAATGGTCGTGCTCTTTGCCTGACTTAGTTAATTTGAAAATTGAATCAAATGATAACCATACATTTGTGAAGCGCATTTGCACAATAGATGCAATCCTAAAAATTAGAAATAAATATTTTTGTTAATAAGATTCATTATATATATATTGCATAAAATTATATAAGAAAACCTGAATATAAAAACACATTTAAAAAATCATTAACTTACTTATCTACAGCCTCGACGTAGTCAACTTTGAAGTTCTTTTGCGAGTTAAGCTTGTAACCCATCGCAGTATCTGCAACAAAATTGGTAAAATTAAATTAACTGTTAAAAATAATTAGTTATTATTAATTCAATTATTAAAATTAAGTATAGATAAAAAAATTTTGTAATTTATGTTGAATATTCTAATATACAATACATACGGTAAATACTGATAAATTTTGCAATATTTCCATTTATTTAATCAACGTGCATAGCATACGGATAAATCAGAGCCGAAATCAAGATATAACGAATGAGGCACTCAGCTTATATAAAAAATTTAAAGGGAGTAAAAATTTAAAGGCAGTATAAATGTTTGTATATTTTAATTTATTTGCTGCTAACGGGCACGTTCGCTGTTGAGATCTCGCTGTGCATTAAAAGAAAATAAAATGTATACGGAAGGATAGCAGAAATTTTGATAAAATAATTAACAATTTTTTGCAATTATCAAAGCATAAAAAATGTGACTTTAAATGAAGAAATAGATTTTCTATGAATTTTTAGAAGAGAATTGATATTATTTATATATGTGTAAAATATGTGCTATACACATACACTTTTAGTTTACTGTAATGTATGCTTTGGTAGTTGTTTTGCTCGTTTATAATCTAATAGTGATCAATACTAACAAGACAGTAATTAATTACTTATTTTAAGTATAGAAGTCACTTCTTCGGTACTTTTAGTATTCCAAATAAGTAATTAATTACTACCTTTCAATAATAGATGGGCTAGTATTAAATTGACAAAATTAGATTTCTGTAAGGGATATTACAAAGTTTAATTGACCAATGTTAGATATATATTATAAAATAGTTAAATTTATTTAGGTAAAAATATCCGTGTTGCTGTACGAGATAACAGAGTGGAGTAATAATATGGAAAAAACAGTTTTGCTGAAATATCTAAAAATTTAGTTAGATATAGAAAAAGAAAATATAGAAGATTTTCAGATTTCTATCTAGCTAAATTTTTAGAGTACTTCAGCAAAACCATTCTTTCTGTGAAAGTTTTGCTGATAACGTAATATTGATAACGTGTAACGTTTGTTTGTTATTATAACACAAATTACGAACATACGAAGTATTATTGGTGATATTAATAGCACGAAAGAGACGCAAAAGATGTGTGTTTGTGACTTCAATTATCTACTAACAAGTGAATGAATAAATTGCAGTGTTCGAGTATTTTAATCGAAGCAGCTGAAGGCCATCATTTGTATCGAACCCCTTCGTCCGCATTAATATTTATATCACATATTTTTTTCTCGGTTATATCATTGTTTTTCAAGCGTCATTCACGCAATAAGAATGCTCCAGATGAATTTGTGCCGAATAAGAAAAAATCACGTTTCTTATCAATTCTTATCAATTGTTCGAAGGAGGATAAATATGTCCTCTCAAGATCTCACAGAAATTTCCTTCGACCTTCAAAAGTATAATTGCTGGATTATTGTTAATAACTAATGGGGCAATTCGTTTCAGTTTGACTTTCGACGTCGATTGTGACGCGAGACGAAAACGAAAAAGATTAAATCGGAAAGATAATAAACCAAAAGTGCCGGAAAAAATGAGAAAACGGCAGTAGTCACTATGTTATCTTAGCAATATGAACTCGGACAGAAGCGTCGTTGTTGTCGGGATGGACTGGGAGAAGAGACCTCAATTTAGCATCGCTCGCGAATCACGCGAATTCCAACGTTGTAAGTCCTCAGAGATAACGAAAGAAGCTCGTATAACTAACGATGGAATTTAAATTTAATGTATCCAGATATGTATTTTATATATAGAATTTTTTATGTGCTCTGTTCAATGTTATATTGAAAAATGAGTACACATACAGTTTCTTTTAACACAGCTATACCGTAACTGAATATTTTAATATATAAAGTTCTGATGATGCCAAAAACGTCATGACTTATTAAAAAATAATTGTTTCGTAATAAAATAATTGTATTTCTAATGAATCGGTTAACGTTTTTATATAATTAGGACAATTCCATAATTATTTGGATGAGATTATCGTGCTAGAACGATGGTTAATATATGGCGTATTCATCATAGAAAAGGAGTTAGAGGATTCAACCTCTTTCAAATTTTTTCATTAGTTATAAACAATATAATTTTTTATTTTTTAGGGTATATGTAAATTTTGTTATTATATAAAATTTTTTTTTCTACTCCGATTATGTAACTTCTGGAACTTCCGTTAGGTAGAGCTTTGACCAGTATCCGCGATATATGTATAAAAAATTTTTCCAAGGTTTTTGAGTCGAAAAATAGAATATGAGTTGAGATATTAATGAGTACTCCACGACTACATATTTCATTTATAATAATTGTATTAGTTTATACTTTCTTTAAGAAAAAAATAGAAGTCATAATTTACAAAACCTAATATTTTTCTTTTAAAATCAGGAATGAGAAGGAGACACTCTAAGCACACTCTTTGAAATACCCAAAAAAGCAATACATTAATGCAAAAATTACTGTTTATGTGATAACAAAGTTGGTAAAAATATTTTCCGAAAAAATCCTGGATACGTCCATGATAACCATCGTTGTTAAATTACATTTGACGAAGCCATCTCTTCGGTAAAGAATAGGTACTATAAAAGGAAAATATCTTCTGTGGAGTTGCTACATTTTTATATCTATAAACTTAACGCGAAATCCGCGTCTATCGAACTCACCGCATATAATATCAAGAGCGGCGCGTTTCGCAAACGGAACAATGTCAAACCATTTGTCCACTTCTTTTTCAAGGCAGGAAATTAGAACATTCGTCTCTTCTTTTATAGTTTTTAAATATGTCTCCTGGAGGCCAGTGTGAAAGGTTGGCGTCAGCAGCTTCCTGCGAAAGTGCCATTTCTCACCTGAAAGAAAAACCACAATTTTTATTGCGGCTGTAAATTTATTTATTGTATCCGCGCCAGTATCGAAAATGAAAAATTATCACAGTGTCTCTAGGACCATCGCGAGATAAACATAGATTTTTATTGCTTCCGATTTTCTATGTTTTTCTTTTATAAAAAGATAATAGAAATTATCGGATGTCAAAATAACTAATCGTACAAATGTTCAGCAAATGCAAGTCAATTATACATATAATATACTCTTCACTGAAGACATATAAGTCGAAAAAGAAAAATTGTCTCACTAGTGCCCTGATTTCCCTTATCTCTAAGAAAAATCCGCGTAATTAACAATTATGGCTCTTTTCTCTAAATAATCTAAAATTTTATCATTCGTTGTCTGAAAAATTCGCAAGAATTAAAGAAATAACGTTGATTTAATGTAGTTCAAACTATATTTTGTATTGATATCCAGAATTAAAAATAAGAGAAATTGACACTTTGGTGCTATGTTATTTATCAACGGTCGTGTTTATAGTGTTAATGTCATAATAAATACGGACGCAATAAACAAGAGTTCGGGGGGCATTTCGAAATTTTACTTTATCACATTCGCGATATATTATGGCTCCTTTGCAAACTAAAAATAAAACATCCGTTCAAGGAGAATGAATGTTTTAATCCTGAGATAATACTGAAATTAATGCCGTACAGTACACTAATCAAATAATACATCTGTTCTGTGCGGAAGTTTGAAATAATATACAGTTACTTTAGTTATTGCTCGAAGTCCGAAGTTCTTTACGTATAATTTCTGTTACATACTCGCGTAATCAACAACTTTTTGCGTGTAAACCCAAGGTAAGATAACAGATCAGTAATATTTCTTTTATTCTATTTTTATGAAATTTTATGACAAGGTCAGACAGTCTGAATGATTAGATTAATTTGCGAACATCAAAAGTACTTCACGTTCCTTTTATCACTTTTTCATTATTTATTATCAGGGGAGATAAGGATAGCTTTTATACAAAACTAAAATTAAGATTCTGATTAAATCTCTTAATTTTAATTATTAAATTTAAATTTAAATTCTGTATTTTTTTATTTAAATTCTAAATTAAAGACTACTTTCAGTAGTCGAAAAGCTGCCCGAAAGTTTCCAAGCTGCCATAATTCGAAGTCTTTTAAATACTTTGACCAGTCACTTTTTTCGATGACAATAATTAATCTTTGCTGCGTCGTAATCACTGATGAAAATAAAAATCGGAACATAAATGGAGTATAAGGGAAGAGTAACAAAAATGTAAAAAAAATGTAAAGAAGATAAACGATTCTTCGAAGAGATCAAAACTGAGACTTCGGTGTTTACACTTCTTTTATACTTTATTGTTCCAATTTTTGCCTCTTAAAAGCTTCATTTACTTCTGTTACTCTCCTCTTACATTCGACTTACGCTTCAATTTTATATTTTCGCCAGGGCGCTGATGCGACTTTAATTTGTAAAATGTGACTTACTTACCAGAACTTGTTACCAGTCCCGTACCCAACCAAGGCTTCAAGTATTGGTATTCTAGACTTTTATCAATGTGTACGCTGCTGCTAAGAAGAGGTTGCACTGATTCTATTCGATAAAGAAAAATGAAAGGCCGCATGCCCACCCAGACTAGATAAATGTCACCAAACTTGTTAGCCCATTTTATCAACCGCTGAAAGAATACTGAAACAGTCAAATTCAACAAATTATAGACGAATACGTAAAACTGTCCTAATCTGGAGACACGATATTGTCTCAGCGCTAAGCAAGCGCAGCGTCATAGCGTGAGACACTGCCGTGCTTCTTTACGCGAGTCGACGAGTTGCGACAGATTGAATTTATCTCAGTAACTGAATTGATCAAGTTCTATATACATATTATACATTCGAAGCAGTTTTGAATAATTGCTAAAAGCGGAAATCGAAAAATTCAGCCAAAAATTCAAATAGTAAGATTCTTTTATACTAGATTTTCTCTATTTATATTCAATAAATACTGTTACATAATTGACAATAACACAAAATGGTGGTATTTTGATGACTTACGTATATATGAAAAAAAAAAACAGTTTCGCTGATATCTAAAAAATTTAGCCAGATACAGATCTGAAAATATTTTTATTGGACCATCGAAATAATTATGTAGGACGCTCAAGTTAGCTGTTAGAATGTTAAACTTTTTGCAGCGTTGCTCATCATGTTTCAGTTTCCTACATAATTAATTTCATATTTGCATCTAGATACTTACATTTTTAAATACTTTAACAAAATCGTTCTTTCTGTATAGCCGCTTACAATAGAGAACTTTATCTAATAACTTAATCTAGGATATTTGTATTTATCTATAGAGTTGTAAATAAAATATTATTCCTTTTTTTATACTGTGTTCGTCGACCTCACTAAAGTTGAGCTCGGAAATAGCAGTATTTAGTCATTATAATTTCAATAATTATTATTCTTTCCGAATTTTATTTTTATCAATGCGCATTAATGTTCTCGAAGATTGAAATAAAAAATTGCGGTCAAAATTCTATTAATATTTTTATTTATTTTTTTGTCCTTGTCTATTCGCAGTCAGTTAATCTAGGATTTCTATAATAAGAGTTAAGACAAATCATTTTCTCTCATATACAATTAAATTAACGTATGTATATAGCTAAACATTGATGTATATTGTATATAACAGTGGTGTATTAATAATGTAATTATATATCATATTTGTTATACAACCAATCAAATGCTATTTCTCACTTCCTTAACTCTTATTATAGGAGATTCATCGACTTGTGCGATTCAATTTTTGAAGGAGGCAAACTGACGAGATTAATCTGTTATAATACTGCCCTAGAAATTCCGCTTGTAATGTTCGGACAGCTTTGTGTTAGCATCTTAACAGAGTCTTTATATAATTCGCCAATGCACTTTAAAGATTATGAGGATGACTGTTCATGCTCAATAATATTCTTATACAACTTTAGAATTGATTCAGTGAGATTTTCTCTACACCGATTATATGTTGCGTAAATATTACAAAAATAATTAATAATTGTTATTATTTTAAATTAATAATATTTAATATATGTATGTATATATATTTATATATATGTATATATGGATATATAATATAATAAATAATAATATTTTATACTAGCTTGCGTGATTTGTGAATAAAATTGGTATCATAGTAAGGAATAAAAAAATAGGAAAAATATCAAGAAGATTAAAATGATGAAAAAAGACTTCATTTTTTTGCATCGAAAAATTGTTTTTTTTAAATACGTAATATATTTTCGAGAGGACGCTTGTGGAGAGAACTTTTCGAAGATAAATTTCAATATTCTTCTTTATCGAAGTAAGCATTTAATACTCATTGAATGCACATGTCGCTTGTTACTGCATTTATGACGATTTCCACGAGGATCATCTTCAATCATTCTCGCGGTCACCGACCTGCAATGTCGTGCAGAAATAGATCTTGTATGACTTCATATCTGACCAATCATCACGCCATTATCGCAACTCTAGATTTACTCTTATTGTTATAAACCGCGACTTTTGCGAAAATAAGAAGTATTAAGAACAGAAATGAAAAAACGAAAAAGGAAACTAATATGACTATAAACTATAACGCAAGAATATAATGCGATATGAGAAGAGAATTAAAAAACTGAATAAGAGAAAAATAACGAGAGGAAGAAATATCAATTTAGAACAATTCTGATAAAAAATGGACAACAAAATAAATCTAGAACAGTGTATTTGATAAATACAGCATATGTTTTGTGCGATTGCACAAAAAGAATAAAATGTTGAGCAATTCGAAATAATATACCAGCTTCAGCTTATTGCTATCTGCAGGATAGTACAATGTAATAAAAAAACAAATTTTATAATATATTAGTTACATCTAATTAAATAAAAAAAGACTATCATAAGATTTTTTTCGATTGATAAACTGAAGACCGTTCTATTAGTTTTCGAGGAGAATTATAGAAAGGTCATCGTTGATGTCATGCACTCTTGCAGCGTCTTAAATCTTATATGAAAGCTGAAGTAAATTTGTATTTGATAAGACATGTCATACCAGAGTTGTTTTTTTTTTAAATATGCGTTACTAATGATTTGATAAATATAAAACTTTAAACTGGTCAAACTTTTTTATTACTCCATAGTAAATAAAGAACTATTTTATAAATAAATTGTCTTTTTATAAACAAAACTCTGATAAAGAAAGAGATAGAAGCAGGCAAAGGGTACGGCCAACGCGATGCTACAAATGTTTGAAAGCAATTTTTGATTGGTCAATTTGTAAAATTCTTTTTTCTAATTGGTTAACTAAACGCTTCAAAGCATTTGTTGTGAGACTTCGACCGCAGCCAAAGAGAGGGAAAAAGAGAACAGAAAAAAAAGAGGACAGATAGAGAATCAAGAACAGGACGGTGGAGGAAGAGAGAAATCGCACTGCGCGTGCAACGAGTTGACGGCCGACAGGCTGACCGGACGTTGACCGGTTGAAAATGGACAGTGTGTACCGCACGTGGACGACGAGTGCAAAAAAGCAAAAGAGACAGAAGTAGAGAGAGGAAGAAGGGGATAGATAAAGAGAGAAAGGCGTTGCTCTGGGAAAGAGCAGAAGATGCTATCGAAGA